TTGTTATTTAAGAATTAAATGCCTTTTGACTTTGTTAAACATTTAAAGCAAAATTTTTGAATTTTTACAAAGTATGTAGTGTTTTTTTAAATGCCAGGCACATGCATTAAATTGATCTACATTTCAATTAGTCAGCTTTTGATCTAGCAATCCAAAACAGATTATATTCAATTTTTCTTTTTTACACTAAATAAAGAAAAAATTAATTAAATCAAATTAAATAAATCTTTGAGTTTCACAAGTCTTTTGAAAGATTGTTAAGTAATTGAACACTGTCAGCATGATGTGATGAGGTTAACTTTTTTAAACGTCATATTTATTGAGGTTGGTCTTTTTCTTGGCCGTTTTTTGTAATAAAAAAGTTTGTTGAATAATAAGTAATTATTTCTGTTAGTTTAATAAGTAGATAGAATATTTCAATTTAGGATATAGAAATGGCGTTAAATCCACAATATGAAGCTATAGGAAAGGGCTTCGTACAGCAATACTATGCGTTGTTTGATGATCCGGTGCAACGACCTAACCTGGTTAATATGTATAACGTAAGTGTTTATTATTTTTATTTTAAAGTGAATTATTTGAATTCTGTTCTATTCTATTTAGGTAGAAAGCTCGTTTATGACTTTTGAAGGTACCCAACTACAAGGTTCAGTTAAAATTATGGAAAAGTTATCGGTATGTTGTCATTTACACTGAAAGTATATTTAATTAATTTCAGTTTTTTAGAGCTTAACTTTTCAAAAAATTAATAGAATAATTACTGCCGTAGACTCTCAACCAATGTTTGATGGAGGTGTAATAATAAATGTACTAGGTCGATTACAGGTAAGCTATTCAAAACAGTTCTTTAAACAAATTGGTCAAAGTTTTGAACAAGATTTTACAATAAGGTCAGTGGTTTATTATGTCAACAAAAAACTATTTTTGAAATTTTATGTCCTACTAAATGGTACTTTTTCTGACTAGACGGATGAAGATCTACCTCAATCTTACATTCAAACATTTGTGTTGAAACCAATTGGTCAAAGTTTCTTTGTCCAACACGACATTTTCAGACTTGTTCTTCATGATACTGTTTAGCACAGTATGTATTAATTTAAAAATATGCATATATGTATTGATTTGCTTACTTTTTAATTTGCTGATCTAATACTCTTGGTTTTTGCACAGCTTAGTGTAGTTACCCAACTTTTTACCAATAACAATAGTTTTTAGGAAGCTATCTAAATATTTTATGCAATTTAATAATATTTTTACATGTATATCACACTAACTTCAAAAATAATCTTTATATTTTCTATTAAAAGTTCCCACATGTTATAAAACATTCATAAAAAGTTGGTGTAGTTAACACAATGATTGCAAGCAGGGGATATTTTTGCAAAAATATTTTTAAATTTATTTGACGATGTATTTATATTTCTATTTTTGTTATTCAATTGTGATGTCTGTAAATATTTCCTTTTTAGGCTGATGAAGATCCACCCCACGCATTTTCGCAAGTTTTCGTTTTGAAACCACTAGGAGCATCATTTTATGTCCAGCATGACATATTCAGATTGGGTATTCATGATTCTGCATAAACTTTTTATCGAAATATAATATTGCCATTAGAGATATAGTCCAATTCTGAAAAATAATAACTTTTCAATTTTCATAAGTCTCCTGAACGTTTTCATGGAAAATGAAAATGCGATTTCACTTTGTGCTTCTCATTTAAACCAAAATAAACATATTTTGTAAGATATCATTTTTTTCATTGCTTTATTGTAACGTTCATATTGGTACAATAATGTACTTTTAACATAGATGTTATTTTCTAACTTTAAGTGCACATTCAAACATTTAGTTTATTGATTAAACAGATCTTTGTATTAACTACAAATGCAAATATGAGCGAGGTTAATAACTTACAAATAAATAAACGACACACACGATAAATATAAAAAAGAATAAATAAAAAGAAACATGGCAGTGCAAAAATAATACATAAAAATTAAGTACTGCTTTGCAGTAATCAAACAAAAATATTCCAAAATATAATTTGGCGTATCCATCTTAGGTATAATCTAGGAAATATCTAATAAAATGATAAATAATAATCAGTCAAATAATGTAACATACAGTCTATGCTACAAGTTTTTTGTGTCTACTGTTTCTTTGTGAGATACGTAGACCTCTTAAGGTACTCATTGCCATAGCTCTATTGAAATGTCTCTGTGGCTTATTTTCAGCCATTTCATTCTCTGTCGCACCATCAAAAGACGACAAAATTACGAGAAGAACACCAAATACCTAAAAAGAGATGTTTGTTAGTTAATTTATCAGCAACTCTTTATATTCAAATCAAAGACAAGATAAAGATTTGACAAGTAAATATTGGTTTGTTGAGTGAAGTTAGTTTTTTTAAACTTTATAATGTCTATCATATATTAACACTTGAAAAAATAACAGAAGAATTGGTCGTGCTCAATAATTAAGAAAAATAAAGTATGAAGATGAATTTTTGAAAAGTGAAATCATCTTCACAGTTTTGTGAGCTAAAGTAATATTTTTTCAATTTGTTACTATAAAGAGATTTCATATGATCAGTAATGTTAAGAGTAAGAGCAAGAGCATATAACTGGATTATATCTCCAGGAAGAATTCACCATACAATAATGGCTTCTGCATTATACTGTTGTAAATAAATGAAAACGATAACCATCTAAATTAGGAAAGAAAAAAACTGTTAAATAAAAACCATGAATAGTGAAATAATAATTGGAAAATAATATGACTGATGAGTGGTTGTATATAACAATATAGATATATAAAAAGGCTGTTTTAATATTTCTTTATATGTTAATCAAATTTGAGATTAAGCATACCAAGCAAATGATGATAACCATGGTATACAAATGGATAGTAATTGTTGGATTACTTTCCATTTCTTTAAGTGCGATTTCAGCAGGTGTAAATCCTGGTTTTAAGTCCAGTGTGTGCTTTAAGTGAATTTGTGCCTCTTGATAATGTCCGTAGGCCTTGAAAATCTCTCCCAATGTGAAATATTGCTGCCATGCTGCCCCTTTATCAGGAGGCTGCATTTCAATTGACCGTCTTGTTAAATATATGGCATCGTCTAAATATTGCAGTGTAAAAAGAACCCTGGCAAGATTTAATAAAATTTCAGAATTATGTGGTGATACTGCAAGACCTCTACGAAAACATTCAATAGCTTTTTGAGTATCTCCCTTTAATCTCCAGAAATTTCCTATCTGATTATATATATGAACAGATTTTGGTTTCTGAAATTATTTTTTGATTGGTATCCTTTGCTTTGCACAAAATTCAATTAACTTACCTCTTTTCTAATTTTCTTTAGTCGTTGTTCTAAGGAATTAATATCAAAGTTTTTTTTGCTGCCTAATATAAGTGATAACTGAGGTTCCTGCACATTAGGATGACTCTGTCTATTTGCAATTCCTACTAAACTATCATAGTAAGTAAAATTCACAGGTTTGCCACAATCCAATGATTCATCCTCAACTTCTTTCTCTTTATATTTAACAGTTTTGAATGAAGTAGAATTTTGAGCATTAACGTTTTTACTGGAATATTAACGTTTAAAATTTATACAGTAATGTAAATGCATTAACTCACTTTTCAACAGCATTTTTGGTCTGAAATAAGTGACAGTCTGTGCAATAATAATCATCACCTTGCTTGACCCATGTCTGGTCATAATAAATAGTTGAAGTAATGATTTTGAAAATAGGATCATAATATGGTGAATTCTTTGAATTCTTCATTTCCTTAGTCAAGGATACAGTTGGAAGAAATGGGCTTGCTTCCACAATCTTATTTTTCTTCAGGTCCAGCTTCCACATCGTGGAAGTTTTTGAATTTAAGGAGCCAAAATGTAAAATAAATACGAAAAGTACAGATAAAATGCAATATTTACTTTCTAACATTCTTAATGCACTACTCTTACAAACATTGATATTTAAATAACTTCATTGCAAAATACGTATGAACAATTGCAGAATTGGAATTATTGCAATTATTTAAAAGTATTTATTTATTTATTTTCTTAAAATAATGTGAGGTTAAGAATAATTAAATGTAGGGTAGTGAATAATGGTAGAACGATATGTGGTAGAAGAGCAAGGGTTGAATTGTCGAATGGAAAGGGAGGTAGTGGAAGATATAGGGGGCCACCTCGGTCTCGCGGAAGACCATTTCATCCTGACGATCGATGCTATGAATGTGGAGACAGAGGCCATTATGCCCGTGACTGCCATAAATACAGAAGGAGACGCAGGTAAAAGTTAGCTGGAAATGTTTGATAAATTTTTTATTTTTATTTTGCTGTTTCTGTTGGACGATACATATGCTTTGTGCAACTGGATCCAAAGGTTTTTCTAACTTTGTAACTCATCTTAATACTATGCAATTGCATTTATTTATATAAAACTACTTATTTTTCTTGATTTATTAAAACATTTTAATTGCATTCAAAGATTTTACCCATCGGATTATTTAGTGGTAAATTTTTAATNTAGATACCAATGATCATCCAATTAACGATATGCAAGTGACCAATCACAAAATACCACATATTCTCTATAGTAAACACGCAAAATCCGAAAATGAATATGGAATAATCTAGAATCATATCAAGTAGTGAAGTTGATTTGTGATTATTAAAAATTGCATCATGCTTGTATCAGAAAGTCAATACCGGTGTTTTATTATCGTTCTCAAGAAAATATTTGTGTAGTTCTTTAATAGCACTTTAAGTGTAAAATATTTCTGTCTGTCATGGTCAGCATTGTTTTACAGTCTAAATATTACGCAGTTTTAAGAACTTAAACTCACAAAATTCCTATCGAATTTCAATATCTGAAAACGATTTGCATTTATTACAACATAAAATGAGTGTTATATCGGGGGTACTTAATTACATTCCAACGGCGCGTTTTGAAATTTTGGATATAAATCAAAATGAAATTTCCTCTGCAAAGGGAAAGAAGAGAAGACTCGACCATTTAACATGGGAAGAAAAACTACAACGCAAGTACGTATAGTGGACTTGTTTAAAAGAAGTATTTGTAATTTCTAAAGTAAATTTGTAATTTTTTCTCATAACATTAAATGATTTGTAGATGTGTACTTCCTGCACTTTCTTACTTTTGTTTTGTTAATTAGCTGATTCATTAACTGTGCTGTTTCCTCTTATACAGAAAATTGAAAAATAGGGTTGCTGCCCAAACTTCAAGGGATAGAAAGAAAGCCAAAATTGATCAGATGGAAAAGACCATTGAAGAACTGTTTAAGAAGAATGAGAAGTTAATAGCAGAATGCAGTGACCTTAAACAACTAAATCACAAATTGATGAATGAAAATGCATCATTACGCAAAGAACTACAGGCAGAATGTAAAAATTATGGCCAAAATGGTTCTGTTGGGTTTGAAGCTCAGAAAGGATCTGCAGAATCCCTCCCTCTGCCGCAGGGTCTGAAGCAAAAATACCCAGTAGAAACATTGAATCCACAAATACTAGTGACAGTACTATGGAAGACTGTTTTGGCTTGCCTTCTTTACCAGACTTGCTCAACGAGCTCGACAATGATGTTGACATTGAATCCCTCGAAAAACTCACTCAAAGCCTCCTACAAGATATCGCAGCAGATTTGGAAGCAGCTTCTCAAAAGACAAATAATGAAGTATGTATTTCTTAAAATGTTTGCAAATATAAAATGTAATTAGGTTTCCTATTTGCAAAAATGATATTTACAATAATAACAAACTTGTTTCAGGAATCAGTTGCTCTTCAAGAATACAAGGTCAACAAAAGAGTGGTGGGGTCCACATCAGAAAATGTGGAATCCAGTGGATGTGAAAGTGTAGTTGTTTCTGATAAGAAGCTGGAAGATGAAATCGCACCATTTCTATTGTTACATCACAACTACTCTGCCAAACCAGACACTGAGCCATTGAAAAAGATACAAAATCAAAAATTAAAAGAAAGTTACTCCCGACGATTATATCAAAGAAAGAAAGATAAAAAAGAAATTGATAAGAAATCAAAATTCAAAGTCATTCAGCCAAAAATTGTTAGTGATTCTCAAAAATCATTAGATTCGAAATTGAAAGAACCAGAGGAGGTATATGGATCCCTTGAGGGAAACTCTGATAGTATTATGATTGTTATGGAGAATAAGAAATTAAATGAGGCTGTTAGTGAATTAGTCAGTTCAGACACTGAAATTTCAAGTAATGAAGATTTAAACAGTGTATCAGATGCATTTGAACTTACAAATAGAATGAGTTTGTTAGAGGTACCTGACAATAACAAATCAAAATATGTACATTCTCCATCATCTAATTTATCTGATTATGGTTATGAATCATCAGCATCACCTCAGTCTTTTGAAGAAAATGATTTTTCCTCTTGGGATAACAGTGTTTCAGAATTGTTTCCAACATTAATGTAAGGGTTAAAAACATCATAAATAATGTTAGATGTAAGCATTACTTATTAAGTTTAAATTATTTTTATATTTTGTACAGTATGTGTATTTACAATAAAAATGTGTGCGATATTTTGTTTATTTATTTTTATTACTGTCACAGTTTAAGTCAATTGAAGAATATTTGACCTTACTTTAAGCAAAAGTATTTATTTATTAATTTACCAATGTTATGTGGAACTTTCCATAAGTATATTTACTTCAAAAACTGCTGTCCACATTATCATATAATCTTACCAGCTTTCGAATTTCCCACAAATACTAATGCGTAGATAACCTAAAGAATAGACAAGTATAGATGGTCCAGTATGTTTCCGTTTTTGCGCATTATCATAAGCAGAATTGGTTGCATAGTGTGAGTCATAAACTAATAAGTTTAAAATTGTTAATGCAGTTGTTTATTTTTTTTAATTATTATACGTGGGTTTTTGACTGAAAACAAAATGTGCTGAAAAGCTGTTTACGAGAACTTTTATAGTTAATTAATTATACAGTAATGAAATGAGAAAAATCGGTGAATTAAATAGTCTTTTTTCTGATTGCCGTCGACCTTAACATGGAAGTCCTGTACCTTAATAAGGAAATATTCGCCATATAGGTGAGTTCCTATAAGAAAATTAAAATAAGGAAACTTGAAAAATTTTAATAGAATCGCGTGTGAGTCTAGAAGTAATAGTCCTTTAATGATTTTAAAATAAATTACAGTAATCGTGGTTTATTTTTGGGTTATAAATAATGTAAACAACTAGGCTTACGAAATAAATACAAAGTAATGTACCTAGTTAATCGTAATTAAATGGCCTAATTACATCTTAATTATATATTCGAAATAACAATCCGCTTTTGGCCGTTTCTACAAACTTTTCCCATATTCCCATATTTTACAAATTACCTAATCTCTGTAAAATTAGTCTATAATTTGATATGTAATTATAATCCTAAAATTTGAAAGTCGTAGATCAAACTGTAGTTTTTGCGACAAATTTTGAAGTTTCATTAAAGGTGCCTGAAAACAGTAGAAGTTTTTTTAAAATCAGAAACTATAATACATAGTTATTAATGTTAGACTTGAACTTTTCTATAGTTCAGAAGAATCGGAAAACCTATTTAATATTTTTTTTAACGTATGATTAATAAAATAAGAAAACTATACTAATGTAATATTATGAAGAGGTGTTTCAATTTTCTTCATTGAAAAGTTGATATTTCTAGAAAGATATTGGGATATAGGTACATAGTTATAACCCAGGTGAGCAGCAATAAAAAATAAAGAAAATTTGAATATTATTTTCTTTTTTCGCTTCCTACCTGAAAATCATTAGTAGTTGTTAATTGGGTGTATAGGAGCTAACTCGGAAATTGAAAATCCATTTATAAAACTGTATTTTTCTAAGGGTGATTAACTTGACTGTTTTTTTCTTTTATTTATTTGATAAATTCTAATGAAACCAAATTTTATTGCGGGTGAAACAGTGGAGGCCAGCTAATGTAAAATAAACACGCAAAAGAAAAGGTTTTTATTAAAAAAAATATGAAAACATTTTAAAGGAACTGATATTCGGCCACAGTTTCGGGTATAAAACCCTCGTTGCCATCTTTTTTTCTTACCCAAAGCCAATTTTTAACAGGTTGCCTCAGTAATGAAACAACATCTCCCCTGCGCACATTAATTGTGTCTATATTATCACTATTATAATCCGACGATATCACCAGCAAGGTATGTCTTTGAACGGCACTTTGATAATTGTTACGATTATAAAGTCCGGTGGCTTTCAAATAAAGTTTGTCAAAATCCTTTTCACTACAAGCACTGTAAACACTGCGACTTCCTGACCGACCCCTGTATGTATCCAGTTCCGTATCGGTAAGATTTCCACATGGTTTAGGGAAAATGTCAGTAACATTTTCCCAAAGAGGAAGGGAAGAATTATCTTTAGGTGGAATTATACCTGTAAAAATGTAACAATGAGAATTTCATAGTGATATTTGTATTCGTTAACTTTCATTACAACCAGTAGGTATGGTTTTTAATAGAAATTTAGAATTGAGACCTTAAACAACTAAATCACAAATTGATGAATGAAAATGCATCATTACGCAAAGAACTACAGGCAGAATGTAAAAATTGTGGCCAAAATGGTTCTGTTGGGTTTGAAGCTCAGAAAGGATCTGCAGAATCCCTCCCTCTGCCGCAGGGTCTGAAGCAAAAATACCCAGTAGAAACATTGAATCCACAAATACTAGTGACAGTACTATGGAAGACTGTTTTGGCTTGCCTTCTTTACCAGACTTGCTCAACGAGCTCGACAATGATGTTGACATTGAATCCCTCGAAAAACTCACTCAAAGNAATATATAAAAAATGATAAAAAAAAACGAGCTACTACTAGAACAAAACTGGATCATAAATTTTGTTAAAAGAGAATTAGACACACATGTATTCTTACAATCGGCCAGGTCTTTTGATATCGTACGTTATAACCGTGAGTCCATAATAAGCGCGTGCGTTATAAGTGACTTTTACCGTAAAGTTGTCAACGTTTTATGAGGCATTTAAATTGAAATATTTTCAGTATTTCAGCTGTTCACGTTTTAACTGCGAACAGCTGAGGATAATTAATTTTCAAATCGGCAAGGTAAGATTACAGTCGTAAATTCAAACAATTCTGTTTTCTGCTAATTTATATTCTGCTAATGTTTGTAATTCAATAAAAATCCGGTAAGCGGTCAGATTTAAAGGCATTATTTAAATTTATTTTGTTTTCCACTTCATAGTCGGGTAATTAGACTATTTTATGGGAAAATATTCCCAACTGAAAGGAATAGAAACTACATGGTGGGTCTTTGACTTCCATTTCGAACCATAACAATTTTTCTGCGGTAGTGAAGGTATATGATGACATTTTTTAGACATTCCGAGTGTTAATTTAATTCATAATTAAAGCCGAATGTGTAGCTACATCTACTTATAAATATTAGGATATTTATTTTTCATGCCGAAAAAGAATATGCAAATTTGTAGATCGTATTTATCCGTGAGGTTTATGTCAAGTTGAGTTTAATAAAAAATAAAAGCCATTAATTTACGAGAAATTTTTCTTTTACCACATTTCAGAATAATTATGAAAAATATGTATAAATTACTCATTAAGTTTTTGGAAGGTTTCTTAGATTTTTTACAAAATTGTAAACGAGTGGATAGTTTAATTTTTAATGTCTTTTAACGACGACTGTAACTAATCGGCTATATTTTAATTTCATCACTGTATTTTGTGACAGCAATAATATTGCTAAATTAAAGTCTGAAGGTGGTTGAATAAACAGAAACGTAACAAAAAACATAAAGTTGTTTAATTATTTGACCGCCACCCATAAGGCAAAAATATTAAAAGTAAATTAAAGTCGTTACCTAAGGGCAAGCAATCAGCATAGGTAACGTACCCTTCCACGGCATGTGGGGTTTGAACATAAAGCCAGTTTTCATTTTTAAATACTGCATTCACCACCATCCCTAAGGGAAGCTGTATTTCGGCTTGAAAACCACCTGCTCTAGTGTGATAAAGGATACTTTGAAATGCTAATACTACCGGTATATTTGCAGGCTTTTCAATCGTAGCCTAAAAAATAAAACAAATAATTGTTAGTTGGTGCCTTTTCCAATTTCAGTTGATCTACTGCAGGATTTTATAGAAATTGCTAGACTTCATCAAGATAATTTAGGCTAATAAAACCAACAAATTTTCAAAAGAGAAAAGGTAATTAGGTCATACAGCAATTTCGCAGTTATATTATTTAATTTTATTTCTGGTATTATTTAAATCAGTTTACTAAAAATAATAATCTCTAAATTTTACATTTGTTTGAGTAAATTGAATATTGGTTGAGTAATTTTGAATTAAATCTTTACATGGGTTAAAATTTCTTTAAACGGTGGGTAAATATTGACATACAAAATTTCAAGGATATTTTTCTTTCTTAATATGTTTGTATGTAGCTATTTGAAAAGCAGCTGTTTTTGGGTATTAATTTACTGTGCAAATGTTAGAAAAAATGTTATTTACATTTGCTAAAAAGTCATCCACGTCTTCTATTTCATATCCGAATTCCTTTCGAAAATGAAAGAGATCGCTGTTGAGAGGTTTCGATTTTTTGATTTTGTACAGCCTTTTCTCTCTTCTCTCGGGATAGAGCGATGGTTCAGATCTAGTTCTTGCTGGAGGGCGGCAGGTGTTCGGGATTTTAACATCGGCTACATGTTTGTTGTTTAATTTACTTTCTTTCAGTCGACAATTATGTTTCCCCAACGTTTTGACTGACATGTTATTTCTTTCATCAGTGATAACGGTTTTTTTATCTACATCGTTTCTACAAGTCAGATTGATTGGTTTCTTCCTCGTCTTGTACTGGAACTTTATCGGTTCCTGAGGATTCGGGTTTTGCGTGATTCTTTGGTTTCGCAGCACCCATATGATGGGCAACTTGATACCTGATAGTTTTTTACCCAATCCAGACTGTTTTTGACCCATATCACATTTTTATATTACAGAATAATTGGCACGTTATCTTTCTTGTAAATATGAAAAGTAATAACACACTGAATTATGGTTACTGAAATAAAATGAAATTTATAGAATTTATATAGGCCTTTTACATTTTTACCTCCAAATTATACTGTAATATCAAGTTATTAACTGTTTATACACCTAAACGATTGACGATAACAATTTTCTCTTGTTTGGTAAGAAGCAATCGACAGCCGCGCGTCACTTGCCTGAGCGTGAGCGGCTGTGCAATTTTGTCAGCAGGCAAAATCAGGGAAATCAGCCTAATCAACTACATAATCCTTTAAAATTAACGATTCACTTTGAATTAATATTGTAAGAAAACTAGACAAAGTTACAATCCGAAGCCGGCGCTGGGCGTGGATTGACAACACATAAACGTAAATATATTCTATCACACTTCCTCTAATCTAACAAATACAAATAATACATGAATAAAAAAATGCATAAGAAATAAAACACGGATGCTGATAAATAGCAGCTGGTTGAATGTGGCGTTGCAATGTCGTATTATCCTGCCTGATACTACCAGAGCCGGACTGATTCTTTCTAATACCTTTTTTCTCGAAAACGGTGGGCTTTCAGATCACCAAATATTTACTTAATTTTTTGCTTTTTAGTGCCCTAACACCTCCTGCAAGCTTGTTACTTATTTCAGAAACTGACATATGATTTCTTAGTATTTTAGTATTTTGTTGCATAAAATTCCATTCATACGCTTAAGGGTAAATTTCGGTTTCGATTTCTCACGGAGTTATATCGCGCTTAGATCATGGTTCTGGCATACGATTATTGTAATTTGATTCGGCAAATACGGCAAGCTCATAATATAAATCAAATAGGTATTGGACGTGAACAAGTCAACAAGTGGGTGGATTTTCTTAATAACCCACATGTTGAAAATCTGAAGATCTTCGGCACTAAATGCGGGACACTTTGATAACTACCTTCGAAAGGTTTCTTACTTTATGAAACAAGAAGAAAGAAAGAACGAAGGAGAAACCCGCGATGGAAACAGTAATTATAGACCAGTAAGGAACGTACCATAAAATGTTTAGGATGAAGCAGAGATTGATAGGCAGTTTTTGGACGATAAATATTTATAAATCGATTTTTAGAAACGCTTTTGTTAAATCAGAATTTATATAAAATTAGAAAAAGAGTAAACAAAAAGTATCTGCAAGAGGGAAGGATGTCTACAGATAATACACCATCAATATTACATAAAGTACTCAAAATTAGTTAATTAGTCAAATAAAAATTAACCAAGTGCAAATGACTGTTTATCTGTCAAGGTTTTACATGAATTATAATAATTTGCAATTGCGTTTTTCTTCTTTATTATGCTCGTTGAGTTAAATGTTAGTAGAGTGTACAATGATCTCCTTAATACAATAATTTTCTTTCCAAAATTCGAATTTTAAAATATTCAAAGAATGTTCAGCCAAGAAACTGTTTATTAAAAAATCTAAAGGAAAATTGCGATATTATAATTTTGTGGAAATTAGGAGCGTGTTACAGGAACTGCATAATTATATGTTAAATAATATAATTATTTATAATGTTTCGATCTGGCTGTTTCTTTTAAGTCTTTTTTATCGGTTTTAATTACGAAGGATGTGATTATCTTCGTTCTGTCTCCATAATTTCTGATGCTGTAAATCATATATGTTGTCAATTAGAACGTATCAACCAACAAAACAACTGACTAAAGAAAATGTCTTTATCAATCAAAAAAACGTTAAAGGTACTAATACAGGTACATATAATTTTCAAACTTACCATCATTATGTGGGAAAACATTTTCAACCGTTAATCTGTTTTTTTTTCCTGTTTTAAAGTTGTTACCTTTCGCCAGTTGGAAAAAAACAATATTTTGAAAAATGAATTTAACTGTTCTTCTTAATGTGTTCCAAGCACTTATTGTTATGTTCTTAAAACACTTTAGACACTAAACTGAATATTACAGCCGGTTCATGGTTTGACTTTGATGTTTACGGGAAATAGACAATTTGTTTTAGTGTGTATGGTCGGTTTTGTGGTCAATTATTTTTACGCATGGAAAGATGCGTCACTCGTGGAAAACGTTCACGTTTGAACCGCGAGGATTCAACTAACCGAATGAGTGAAGAGATATCAGGATTCGCATAACAATATCACTCACTCCACTTCGACAACTAACTAACAACATAATATCTTGCCAGAATGTTGCCCGCTGTATCTTCCGTATATTACTTACTGGTTTTAAATAAATCTGTTGTTTATATTTTTTAAGAATTAATTTTATTGCGACTTGTGATTAAAAAGTTGCTATTGAATGTTTCAACATCGCTCTAGTGTCTAGCTTCTAGAATAAGCTTCTTTTGACTTATTTTTAGTTGCAAACATTAAAAAACGGACAGACGGACACACGAGTGATCCTATAAGGATGGATATACGGAATCCTAATCCGAGAAACATTGTAGTTGAAAAAAAACCTGAGCTTTGAGCGTCACCCTTATCTTTTTTTGGAGAAATGTTTTTTTTTGGACCTCGATAAAAATTTTCAAAAACATCGGACTCCATCTAAAATTACTTGTAGACCTTCTTGTTGTTATTTTACCTCCAAATCTGCGTCTATTACGTACTCTAATGGCTACATATACAAACTTTATTGAAGATGTTAGATTTTATTTTATTTCATTATTTTCTTTCGAACTGTTAGCTCGCAAACTCTATAGATATAAATAAAAAGGCTTTTAATTAAACAATTACACTGTTTTAACGGTTGCTTTAATTCTAAATAAATAATCTAATATATGTTTCTACATTTCATTATTAACCCAAATAACTTGATATTCAAATAAAGACCTCATTCTTTAGATCTTATCGAAGATAACCAATTACAAGTTATCTGTAATAATATTATAAGTACCTACCTATCGTATAAACGTTTCGAGAACAAATTTACTTGTAATTGCTTTAAGAGTAAAGTGCAAGAATTATTTTTCTATAGAACGACCCTACATGGTTTGAATTCTATGAAGAATGTGAGCTGCTATTTGGCTTAATGGTTGCAATTGTTAACGTTCTTTTAGATCTTCTGATACCGGTGTTCACAAACTGGATGTAATCATTGTTTTTGTCGGTATAAAAATAAATGAAATTGCTAGATGTAGTTACGCGGCTGCAGTAATTAGTTTTGTTTTTGTACTGATTTAGCAAGAATCTGAATCCTCAAACGCTTTCGGTAGTTTTGTTAATGTCTTTCAATAAATAAAGGAAGAATATTGTTCTCAGACAACGTTACGACTAAAGTGGTCACTTATGATACCTAAACTACTCTATAAGGAGGTATATATAATGTGCTTTTTAAGGATTCAAATGGGCAAGGTGTCTCCAATTTGTCAATCCCTTGCAATTCATAGTTCACTACATTTTTTAAATAAAAGTCTTAAAGGTACCTCAATTAATATATGTACTATGTATATATGTACTATTCCATATAAAGAGTCAGTAAAAGTGTGTTAATAAGAAGAAATCATTTCTATGCTTGTAAACGGTTAATTTATAAATTCTAAAAAGGTTGTTAAAGGTGTATGTTTGGAGGACGGCGTTTTAGGGGTGCGAAACATGGACAGTGGGCGTGGCGGAAAAGAAAAGGTTAGAAGCTTTTGAAATGTGGTGTTACAGGCGAATGATGAGGATAACGTGGGTAGAAAAGGTTAGAAATGAAGAGGTATCAGAAAGAATAGAACAGAGGACTCTTTGGAAGTCAATAAAAAATAGGCGAGATAGGTTGGTAGGACACCTTCTCAGGCATGAAGGTTTAGTCAGAAACATATTAGAGGTAGAAACAGGAGTTAGGAGGGGTAGAGATGGACCTAGGTTAGATTACTGTTCGCAAATAGTTAAGGATGTGGGTTATTCTAGTTTTAGGGAAATGCGAAGATAAGCTCAGAATAGGAAAGAGTAGAAGTGCGTATCCAACCAATCTTAAGACTGACGACCTTATGATGATGATGATGATGAAAGGTGTGTTAGTTGAATTCCGACGCTTGTTCAGAACTTTACGGAATGTCATAGAGTTTTTCTGGAAGCCCTACTTTTTTAGGATTCAAGAATGCTTTAGAATTTTCTAGAATATTTGAGAAAATATAATGATAACTAATTTTTCTTGGTCCAAGAAAAGTTTTCTGAAAAAACCTATAAGAAAAAATGAATCAATTGGATGTCTAGAATTGGTAGTTCATCTGTGTCCAATTCTTTATATAAACCACCCTGTCAACAGCATTAGTTGGAAGGCAATATATTTTACTGATATTCAATTAGTTAACTTCTTATTTAGTCCTTTGGGGTTCGTTATAGCAACATTATTTACGCTGCAGGTACCTAGTTTTATCCTTCCACGTATAGCTATCCTCTGTGTGAACCCATTGGTGGTGTTCGAACGTGATCTCGAAGTGATAAAATATAGAGCAAGTCAACTGATATTTAATCAGCTTGATTAGCGGTTGTCTCAAGACATTCTCATTAATAACTGTGCAAAGTGACGAATATAAATCCTGTAACTTTTCTTGGAGACTTTCTAAATCGATTTGAATATAGATGTGTTTGATTTTAACGACTAGTTGCAACTAGACGCTAATTTGTTCTTGTTTGCTACTTGGCATTCCTTGTTCGTAATAATTACAGGTAACGCGTCCAAAGCAACAATAATAAACTGTTATTAAGAGAATTACATCTGGATTTTTATAATTGACGGAAACGCTCTTCGATCTTGTTGCTGCGGTTTCACGATTGATCGATTCTTTTTGTTGTTGTTTTTTTTTTGTCTAAAATCTACAAGCGAATACAACCAACCATGACGAGACATTCTGCTAGTTATTAGGAACTTTTTGTTTTATACCAAATAGCATTAGGAACGGTTCGTATTCGACAAGATGAGGATTAAATTTTTAAAAGGTACTACTGTAATTTTTATTGAAGAAAATGGTAAGGATATTAAGTAATTTAAAAATAAGGTAAGTACAAATAGAATGCGCATGTCTCCATAATTTCTGATGCTGTAAATCATATATGTTGTCAATTAGAACGTATCAACCAACAAAACAACTGACTAAAGAAAATGTCTTTATCAATCAAAAAAACGTTAAAGGTACTAATACAGGTACATATAATTTTCAAACTTACCATCATTATGTGGGAAAACATTTTCAACCGTTAATCTGTTTTTTTTTCCTGTTTTAAAGTTGTTACCTTTCGCCAGTTGGAAAAAAACAATATTTTGAAAAATGAATTTAACTGTTCTTCTTAATGTGTTCCAAGCACTTATTGTTATGTTCTTAAAACACTTTAGACACTAAACTGAATATTACAGCCGGTTCATGGTTTGACTTTGATGTTTACGGGAAATAGACAATTTGTTTTAGTGTGTATGGTCGGTTTTGTGGTCAATTATTTTTACGCATGGAAAGATGCGTCACTCGTGGAAAACGTTCACGTTTGAACCGCGAGGATTCAACTAACCGAATGAGTGAAGAGATATCAGGATTCGCATAACAATATCACTCACTCCACTTCGACAACTAACTAACAACATAATATCTTGCCAGAATGTTGCCCGC